GCCCCCTCCTAGTGCAGCAAGTGGTCCTGTAGACGCCCCTTCCGCCCCTTTTTTTTGAACGGCAATCAGCCTTGATGTGGCCTATTTTGTTGCAGTGGTAGCATCTACGATCGCTTTTCTAGGCCGTTGCCCTTCCTAGGTGGCGTTCGGCTCTTTGGTCATTGTCTGTAGTGACCCGTAGAGCAGTCTCGTCAATGGACTTCTCACTGTTGATTCTATCCTCGAGGTCTGCAAACTGCATAAATATCTTGCGGTAGTCCGTGATGCCTCCTACTTCGATTTGGGCAGCGATGTTATCATATTAGGCCCCGCGACTTTTCATTATCATGAGTAGTCGTATAGTCTTGACTTGGTCTGCTAGGCGGTACTCTGCTTCGGCGTCGCCAATCGTCTTCCGATAATCGTCGAGCATGGTTCTGATGTTGTATACCGACGTCGTTACTGGCGGGGCATACGAATAGAAAGCAATCAGCTTTGCGTTCAACTTTTACAGGCCCTCGTGAGCGTACATCTCCTGGAGATATATCCATTGCTCTCGGGCTGTTTCTATCATAAGTATGTGGCTTCGAGGGTCCTGCGCGCAGAGTTCCATTATCACAGCCACCGCTCGGTCATTCTTGCGCCGAATCCTCATTGATTCGCGCCTTATCACAGCCACCGCTCGGTCGTTCTTGCGCCGAATCCTCATTGATTCGCGCCTTATCTTGGTCGCGGCGATAGTGTCTTCGTCGTCCGTCCCATCGCCTTTCGCTGAGTTATCAGGCTCATCATCAGAATCATATTCTGGTTCGATAGCCCCCTAGAGGCTCTTGGTTTGCAGCAGCTTCCTGGTCTGTATCATCTAGGGGCGGTAGTTTGGCCCAGTCAATTTATCATATTGACTGCAGTTCTGTACGTATCCTAGCCCCATACTGTGGGCAGTTCTCACTTATCGAAGTGAGTACTCGGAATTGATTTCTTGGTCGAAAGTGATAAACCGGTCGTGCTTTCCGGGCTCATAATTGTCGTGACCAAACTTTTCGCTTCGCTCAAGGTTGGAGTAAGCAACATGCGCCACTTCACGCGAGAGGAAGCAAGTTGCGCCAACTCACAACTTGCATATGTTCACCGCTACTCTGTAACAAAACCTTTACCATAGCCACACATAGTATTTTATATAGTAATTCAATCCAATTTATTTAATGGAAGAGACTCCACTATCAAATGCCTGTAAATGGCTAGCAGAGAACCCCTCAGAATCTGCAACTACTGCCATTCGACTTTTCAAGGTCACGCGATCGTCAATACGGTGGAGTATTGCCCGAGCAGCTCGACGGCAGCAGCAAGCTCAGCAACAGCAGCTACCCCAACACGGGGATAAGAATAAGCTGCTATCTACTGCGCAAATTGAGGCTCTTAAGAAATGGATACTTGAGCAGTATTACCTAGGGTTTGGAGCTACTAGGAATATGATATTTGCCGCAGTCTGCAAACTCCGGAGCCCACAGCCCCCGCCATCACAGAGTTGGCTTACAAAATTTATTAAAAATGAGCTTCAAGAATACCACTTTATTACTACAAAGCCAATTGCGCAGCAGCGTACGAAGGCTCAAGACGAGCCTACTGTTACTACTTGGTTTCACGACTACCTTGAGTTTGTACTACAGCATAGTATACAGCCAGAGTCAATTTGGAATATGGATGAAACTGGCTTCCAGGTAGGAATCCCAGGTGGTGAGCGGGTAGCAAAAGAGCTCTACACCCCAAGCCTGAAAATCGTACATCTATTACTATCCTTGAGGCTGTGTCTGCTGTTGGAAAAGTCATACCGCCTGTACTTATTATTCCGGGCAAAATTCATATGGATTCTTGGTACCACACTGTAACGCTGACTTCTAAACGATAGAAGACACAGAGGTTTCTTGTGTAAGGTTGACTTGACAGAGGAGGCAGGGGATTAGACACAAAGGCTTTTCAAGTAACACGTTGCAGTATTGTAAAGAATACTATATTGAGTTGAGCATGAAGCTCCTATCTAAGGAAATACTATCTACTTATATAGTGGCGTCGTGCCTCATGGGTAATCTGGATAGTTGGCGGATAGCTAGATATTCAGGATAGTTCGTGGATAGCTCAACTATCCAATATCCACTAGTTTCTGCAACTATCCATTAGCCCCATCACATGGCAGCCTACCCCGCTTCCCACTGTGACTCACACGTCACGTTACTAGGCCCTGGCCCTGTAACCATGACATCATGTTACTGTAGCCGTAACACACACCAACCTTGAAGGCACAGAGCTCTTCTTGCTCTCCGACTCTGGATTTACTAATAGCCAGCTTGCTCTCTGGTGGCTACAGCACTTTGCGCAGCATACAGCTCAATATGATAATGGAGAGCCAAAGGTTCTACTGCTTGACTCTCACGTTAGCCATACAAGCGATGATTTTATCATTGCAGCTGAAGAACACAACATTATCATATATACCTTCCCATCACATCTTACACATGTTTTACAGCCATTAGACATTGGGATATTCCAGCCTTATAAGCACTGGCACCGAGAAGCTGTGCTTGCAGCTATAAGGCATATGGATATTACCTATGACGTCCAGTCCTTTATGCGGGATCTCACTCTCATGCGGGAGCAGACCTTTAAGGAGTCTACTATAATATCCGCTTTTCAGAAAGCTGGTATTTGGCTGGTTAGCTGTGCTGTAGCTCTTGCAAAACTACGTATGTACTCGCAGCCTACTATAGAGCCTACACCTATGCCTATACCTAGTCTACCAATCCGAGTTTCTACACCTAAACCCACGACTTTTAGGGGGGTAGAAGAGGGGCTACAGCACTGGAAACAGCGGGTTCCACAAGGCTTTAGTAGCCCCTCGAAGCAGAGCTACAGGAATTGGCTTACCAGCACTGAAGAGGTAGTAGTAGCCGGCCAAGTCCAGGAGCTTGACCTGCGTACTGTACGGCGGCAGGTCAAGGAGTCCAAAAAGCGGGCAAGCTGAAGTAGGGCCCGCCTTCAATTTGGAGGCGAGCTCTCTGCTGACCGAGCCCACGAGCTTTGGGCTGAAAAAGCTGATTGTTTAGCCCAGAAGCTCCAGGCCAAAGAAGCCCGGATAGCCTGCCAGGCTATCAACCGGGCCCGCAAACAGCTCCGTAGAGCTAGAATTGAGGCCCGGAAGCAGGAACGCCTCCGGAAAAAGAGGGTGGCATTCTACACTAATGCCAGCCTCCCAATTCCTCTAGAGTGGAAGGACCCAATTCCTGACCCGGAAGCCTCTGAAAGTGAGGGCAAGGAGGAGTATGAGATTGCGGGCGAGTGTGGGAGCGAGCGTGGGAGTGAGGATGGGAGCGAGCGTGGGAGTCAAAGTGATAATTCAATAGAGTAGGCAGATTATGTACCTTTACATACAAATTACTATGGGCTAGTACTTACTCTCAAAATCGTGAGTTGGCGCAACTTGCTTCCTCTCGCGTGAAGTGGCGCATGTTGCTTACTCCAACCTTGAGTGAAGCGAAAAGTTTGGCCATGACGATTAACCTGTTGGGGGAAGGACCGAAAAATTGTCACCGCGCACAAATCGTGTGGCGCTTGTGTCAGTCGGACCTTGTAAGGATGCCTCCTTATCTCAGAACTGTTACGGTCACTACAAGCATGAAATCCGATTCGGTGTGGTTTCGAACCAGTAGAGGAGCACATAGCGAGTTACACTATAGTGGGGGATGGTAAGGGTGTAGGGTTCAGGGCCAATGCTGACCTGTTGCAGTGGAAGGATCAGGGCTAGGGTTGGAGTAACCGAGTCGGGCCCGTTTCGGATACTCAAGGAAACAGACTCAACGGGGTTCCTCCTTCATCTTTTTTGTATCCTTCGTAGTAGACCTATAGGATAGCATCCGTTTAGCCTCCGACTCACACTCTCATATTCTATTACTGTGAGCTGGTTGCCCTGTGTCCTTACAGACCTTCGGGTTTTGCGCAATGGGCAAGAAGGCTTCGACAATAGGTTACCGTATATACAGTAATCGGGTCAATGAGAGAAGAGGCTATCTGTGACCAATTCTATGCAGGTCTGAAAGCCCATGTGAAGGATGAAATCTCAAGGTCTGACAAACCAGATGACCTTAGAGAGATGATTGAATTGGCTCAGAAGATCGACAATTGTCACTACGAACGGCAACTCGAGAAGAAAGGGGGACCACCTAGTCAACACTGGACTCAGAAGAGAAGACAAACAAAGAGTCATTGGCCCCAACCTATGGAACTCGACGCTACTTTCAAGCCTAATCGCAAACCCCACAATCCCAACAAGGAGCGACAGTTCCAAGAACGGCTCTGCTTCAACTGCAATAAGCCTGGACACATAGCACGAAACTGCAGACAGTCAAAGAAAGGGAATGGAGGTCGAAAGAGGTAGCGGATTCAATTCGTTGTTCCGGTGCCGTTCCTGATTGAAGGCAGTAAGTTCTCGTACCATGGTCTGGTAGTCTCCATTCCATTGGTTTTTGATGATCGCGACACGGCTGCGGAATTGGGGAGTCCACTTGTTCCACATGTACCGAAACCATTCCGACTCAGAGACTTTGTCATACTGACATTCGTTGCACTCAGTTTGCTATTAAACTCAAGAGCAAACTTAGAAATCTCCTCCTCAAACCTACAAGTCACCATACATATCTTGGCTTAATGGCAAACAGCTTAACGCTACTTGGCAAGGTCAAGGTGGGTGCAAGGCCCCGCGAGGACAGCTATGTGCCACGTTAAAAGGAAAAGAGATTCTAACTATTCTAATGGCCTACTCACTATTTATGGGCGTTTTAGGGCCCTACAGTAATTACCGTGGAACGCTGGCCCCCTCGGTGGGGGTTACCAAACTTCTAGGCCAAAAGCCCGGAATCCCTCAGCTCCCGTTCCGATTCCCAACACACTTTGCAAGGTGGTCGGTGCGAACACCGACGATTAATTTGACCCCCTCATCACTCCTCCACCAACTGAACCGTCAAAACTTGAGAATGCTGAACGTATCTACCGGAGGCAGGCATGCATTTCACCGTATCTCTTACTACTTCAGGAAGGCTGCGTCTACCCATCCAGACAGGCTGCAAGCTCGTCAGCTCGAGGTGGAGCGCAAGTTTATAGTCACACCAGCTGCTAACTCCTACTTGCGCTCTAACGGCGGAGGTTCAGGATTCAACAAATATGAGAGCCTCAGGAGGCAGACTACCAACGACATCTACTACGACCGAGACGGTTTACTCTTTTCAAAAGGAGTTTATGTTCGTCGGCGGAATGGACATTGGGAGGCGAAGATCCGCACCGGCGGCGATTTCATCAACTCGGCTTTCGCGGAGATCGATGGCAATAATGCAGTGAGGGAGATTATCGATCAGAACTTGAGTAACTCCGCAGACGGAGCTGACATCGAAGAAATTCTGAAGCCTTGTGCCGAATTCGCCACGGATCGAGAATCCTGGATGATTGACGGCAAGTTCAAGGTTGACGTCGACAAAACAGACTTTGGACACATAGTTGGAGAGGTGGAATTGACAAGGACTCTCGAGTATGCCAATGAAGAGGAGGAAAAGTTAAGGGAGTTGAAGGAAAAGATGGACCAAGAGATCAAGGTTTTCATGCAATCGTACCCACAAGCATTCCCAGTTGGACGCCCGGTTGGAAAACTGAGTGCCTACTTCCACAGGCTCGACCATAGGATGCGACTGCGTCATTTTTTGCAGATGGGCGAACTCTATTCTGGAACTGAGTTTATTCTTGAATACTACTGGTCATGCAGGATCCCACCTGAGGATTCCCTATCATACCTCATGCACAGACTTTTAATCCGCTTTTCTCGCTTTACTACCACAAATAGTCTATCACCATTCCAGTTCCTTTGCTTTGCCAGCACTTGAGGTGCACTCTGCTTCACTGGTCTTGGTCCAATCATAAAATCCACCTCGCTGCAGGAACGCATTATGCTCCCACCTCACTTGGGCCATCGCCTGCCTCATACCGACTGTCAATATGCTTTCACTCGCTTTCTCTTCCCCGTCGCCTTTGTCTACGAAGCGCATGTATTCATCTAAAATCAAATAACTCCCCTTCATTATCTCATTGCTTCCCGGAACGAAACAATTTAATTGCTTATGTCTGTCACAAACGTCGTCCACTGCTCATCGCTTACAAGAAACGAACGTGCATCGCGCTTGCGTCGTTCATTATCATTTTCGCATCAGGCACTGGAAGACCTTCCACCGGAAGGGCTTGAAAGGTGTAATCGGACCAATCATGTCTTCATCCCAGTTCAGGCTGCATACAACGGTGTTGATTTTGAACCTGATGCCGAACTGTTGACACCAACCGGCAACTTTCGTAAGTTGCTCCACATTCTCACCATTTCTGCCTCTTCCGATTGTAATATTTGTTTTTGGGCCGAACGAATCCCAGGATATAGCGAGGATGTCAATGAACTTCGAGTTTTCTCGAACAAGAATCTTTCTGTGATATTCGAGCTGTTGAAAACGATGCTTATGCTTTCTATCCCCAGTTCCCCTTTCCCATAGCGGAGAAGCTCACGCAAGAACGTGGGATACAAAAATGGCTCACCACCTGCGAAATTGAGCTTCTTCATTCCGGCCTTTTTCAAGAGCTTCATTCCACGCTTGGCGTCATCGAGGGAGAGGATGCTGGAGGTCTGCTCGGTATGGAAGCAAAAGCCGCAGGTATAGCTGGAGTCGCGAGATCAGAGGAAGAGGGGGATTCTAGTAGACGGGTTCCCGAGGAACTTGGAACAGCTGAGGCAATTTGAAGCGGCAAGCCTACTCTCGAACAGGCTAATAGCAAGTTTGTACTAATTCAGCAAGCAGTTTGCAAAACCCAAACTCGTTCTATTTTTTAACTGCCCTCCCGCACCCGGCACCCGTGCCGCAGTCTAGACCCACCCTCCCGCGTACCCGGCATCCACCCCCGCACTCTAGACCCGCCCTCCCGCGCACCCGGCACCCGCATACTAATCCCTACTCTCTTCATGCTCGACGAACAACAAAATCCTGCACGGGATCGTCGTCACGTGGACCCTCCGCTTCAACGACCTTCTCCACGCCGACCGCCTACACACCTCCCTCTGCCGCCTCCTCTCGATCGGTGACTAGAGAAAGGTTGGCGGACGCCTGAGCCGAAAGGTAAGCCCCCTAACCCCACACTACACCCCTCTAACATCCCAGGCCACCTCCCTAGAAATCCACGTCCCGCCCACCTTCACCCCCGCACGCCCCGCCCTCACCTACTCCCACACGGCCATCCCCTCTAACATCGACGACCACCCCCTTGCCAAGACCCTCCTAAAGGCCACCCCCGCCGCCTCCATCTAGCGCGGCTCTAACGAATTCCGCGACTTCGAATGCCGCAGAGACGCCCCTGCCACCCTCGAGGACTACCTCACCAACGACACGCCCATCCTCTCTCTCCACATCACCTCCTTCAATGACGCCACCATAATCGGCCTGACATGGCCGCACGTTCTCATGGACGTCATGGGCCAGCAGGCTCTCCTGCGCGGCTGGTCGCTCGTCCTAGCCGGAAAGGAATCCGAAGTGCCAGCCCTCCTCGGCGCACGTGAGGATGCCCTCTTATTCCCCGACGAAAACCAAGAAGTCTACCGTCCCAAACGCCTCCAAGGTTCGGCATGTTCAAATCCGGGCTGCGATTTGTCGCCGACCTTCTCTGGAACTGTGTCGTCGAGACACGCACCATCTTCCTGCCAAAGGCGGCCGTCGCCAAGTTGCAGCAGCAGGCCCAGGAAGACCTCTCCGGCGAGTTCGTCAGTGAAGGCGACGTTTTAACGGCGTGGGCGACGCGCGCTGTGGCCTCTTCCATGCCATCCCGTCCCATAACCGCCCTACACCCGCTCAACCTGCGATTCCGTCTCCCATCCCTCATCCAAGTTCCCGGCGTCTTCGTGCAGAACATGGCCGTCTCAGCCTTCTCGCTCTTCACGCCTGAACTCCTTCGAGGACCCCTCGAACCCATTGCGCTCGAGAATCGGCGCCAACTGATGGAGCAGGCGACGGAGCCTCAATTGCTCGCCTTGTTACGTGAGATGAGTCAGAGCTACACGCCTGGCGGCGATACAACCGTTCTCTGCGGCGAGTTCCATGCCCTCCTAATGCCGTTTACGAATTAGACCAGAGCAAACGTCTATTAGGCGGCCGACTTCAGCGCTGCAGTCGTACGCGCCGGCGAGGGAGACTCGAGGAACAATCCGTCCGGCACCATGGTATATCAACATGCCAACTCAATGCGAGGGAGCCCGACGATGCGAAATGTTGTTATGATACACGGCAAGGACCACGGCGACAACTACTGGCTGACCACGCTTCTGCTCCCGGGCGCTTGGCGAAGATTGAGTGGCGATTTACACATAGCCGGCCTTTGTATAGAAGAAGCCGGCCGTTCAACGTGAACCTGTCAGGTAGGAGGTGTTTCGCACGTGTTTCTGGAAACGACTCTCTGTTGTCCTCACATAAAGCCTCTATTAAATCGAAAGGCATCTGGGGCTTGGGGGTGTCCATCGAATTAATGGATGCTATGTAGCTCTCGGCGAGTTCGGTGCTGATTCGGGGGTGCAGGCGGCTTGGACCTAACAATACCCTCGCCCTACTATCAAGCTTGACTTTCTGCTGCATTACCAAGTCTTGGTCTCTTCGGCTTAGAATATCTGCCTTCTGGTTATTCTTGCCTGCGGTGTACGTGATGCAGAAATTGAAGTCGGAGAGTAGCTCCATCCACGGAACCTGTTTCGCTGTGAGAATCTTGGTAGACATGAAATATTCCAACGAACGGTGATCAGTGTAGACGTCAACTCACTGGCATACCGAAGCCAACTCGGGCCTCCATTTTCCAAAGGCTTTCACGATTGCAAATAGTTCCTTGTCGTGGATCTCCCAGTTGATCTCATGTCCGATAGGACGTGACTGTAGAAGCTTACGGGGTACTATCGCTTGTCAGGGTGTTCCTGGGACAGGACACCAGCTACGACTCCATCGGAGGAATCTGTCTCCAGCTTCGTAGGCAATTCAGGGTTGAAGTGGTGAAGTGCCTGTACATACTCAAAGGCGATGCCTTCACTACGGCGGCGGGTGATACTGGTCAAATACTATCCTGAATATGCTAACTTGACGCCAAAGTGGCTGAACAGCGCATCTGAGTCATTCCGTACATCAAAGAAGGCTTTCAGAATTAGCAACTCGGATGTACTCTAGACGTTGTCTTAAAGGCCTCTCAAACTGTATCGAGAAAGACCTAGTTATGGCAGTGTCTGAGAACGACAATGGATAGCGGAGAAAAGCTAGGGCAAGCGGCTATTCGCCCCTAAGCTCGGCGGTCATACGAGGTGTTTAACAAGAGACCGCTACAAGAGGAGATGGCATTGTACTGTACGCAAGATGTGAAGTTGATGCCAAAGCTCTGTGCGTTTTTATCTTTGCTTTGATATTTCTGCAGCATTAAATGATATTGCTAGTCTCGTATCATTACCGTCTATACAGCCAGGACGCTCTTGCCATCAGTCGTCAGCCCTGACTTTTAAAAACCCCATGCCGAGCCTAACATATTCCGAGGGACCACCGATTGCCACGTCTGCGTCTATCATAGCACTGGGCGAGAATATAAGCGCCTCTCCTATCCCTAGCCCTACAGTTTTTTTAAAGATTGAGCTTGCGGTGTGGTTTTTCGCTCCCGAGGTGGGCTCTCTAATCAGATCTCCGTGTCTATCGCCAGCATCCAGCACTTGGTCAGCGATGTCTGGAGCTACAGATACTGTACTTTGAAATATTCGAGCTTAAATTGTCTTTTCTTTCCCAATCGCTACATCTACCAATCCGTGAGGATCAAAACTCATAGAGAGAGACCTGTATAGAACCTTCCAATACAATATCTTGTTTTGTAGTTTGCACAACCCCATTTCGCCAACTATCTTCCTCGTCATCGTCGTCGTGATCAAATAATAACCCTCCATGCCAGCCAGAACATCCCCCCCTCCCCTCTTCTCTTTTCCTCCCCCTCATCCCCATCAATCCTCCACCCCTAAACCGTCTCCCTCTTCGCGTCATAAAACGCCGTCGCCACCCCCGCCCCCGGCTGCAACACAATATCCGCCTTCATAATCGGGACCCCCATGGGCCCCTCCGGCATAAAACTATCCACGCGGTCAAACCTCTGCAGCATCCTCACAATTGTATACCCCATATTCGTCAGCGCGAATTGCTGTCCAATACACAGTCTCGGTCCGCCGTTGAACGGGATATACGTCCAGGGTTTCGGCTGCCATCCGAACCAGCGATCGGGGTTGAAGACCTCGACCCCCATGTTCGGGTCGTCGTTGATGGGGTACAGGTCTTTGCGCCGCTGCATGACCAGGGTTGAGTACGCGACGGGTGTGTCTTTGAGAACGCCGATGGGTGATTTGCCGTCGGGGCCGCCGCCGAAGGGGAGGGTGGTGTCTTTGAGGGACAAGCGCACGTTGAATGGGATGACCGGGTAGAGGCGGAGCACCTCATTCATAGTATGCTGGAGGTATTTCATATTCTTCAAATCCTCATAAGTCGGCGCATCCGTCTCGCCAATCACATCCATAATCTCCTGCCTCAGCTTCTTGAACGCAACAGGGTGGCGCGCGAGCTCGTAGAATGTCCAGGATAGGGTTGAGGCGGTGGTGTCGCGGCCGGCGAGGAGGACGGCGGTGAGTTGGTCGCGCAGCATTTTGCGGTCGCGAGTGAAGCCGCCGAGGGCGTGGAGGAAGTTGTACGAGGAGGATTTGGCTTTGGAGTCCAGCTCGGCGGAGGTGAAGGCGAGGGTGCGGTCGATGTATTGGTCGATGAAGGTGTTCATTACTTTGAGGCCGGCGTTGAAGGAGCCGCGGGGGACGAGCCAGTTGAGGAGTCTGGGTGGGGGTTAGTTAGGTAGTTCAGGGGGAAGGGGCACTTTGTATGTGGTAAAATAGTAGGGGGGGGGGACTCACCCAGCACGAGCGATAATACTCTGAACCCTCTGCACCTCGCCAAAAGCCTCAGCAAACTCCTGAATCGGCGTACGTAGACTATCCACACTATGCCCCAACAAGAAGTCGGTCGAGGAATCAAGCGTATACCGAAAGAACAAATCACTAACATCCACCACCCTCCCCTGCGCCACCCCATCCGTCGCCACCCCCGGCATCCCAACCACCCCCCCATTCGCAATCGCCGTCATAAGCGTCTGCACATGCTTCTCGAATGTATGCAAATCACTCACCCGATCCTTGACGAACTGCGGGCGAATCAGCTGGCGCGACGCATGCCACGCATCCCCGTCGGTGGTGAAGATGCTGTCCCCCAGAAAGGGCTTCCAGTCATTGTGGAAGGGCTTGCCTTTGCCGAAATCGCCGAATTGGGTCGCGAGGATGGCTTTGATGTTCTCGGGTTCGGCGGTGAGGATTATGCGCTGGCTGGCGGGGCGGGCTTCGACGGTGTAGCGGCCGCGGCCGTTGTTCTCGAAGAGCTTGCGCCAGCCTCCGAAGTTGTTGTTGTGTAGGCTGTTGTAGACTGCTCTGCCTACCATGTCGAGATCTGGGGGGGGGGGGAGGTTAGCGGAGCTCAGAGATATATGGATGGACCCGTATTTGGGCGGCGTGAGGGTTACTGTATGGCAGCCAGCACCTGACGGTGGGGGCATGTTTTCCGTAGGCGGCAATTCTCCTCTCCTCATCGATGCGCGTGACGAGGTTCCAGAGAACCCAGAGGCAGAAGACACCCACGGCGATGTTGGTCCTGGTGAGGTCGTTGAGAATATCTTGAATCATGGTTGTGGGTTATGATGGTTGTGGGTTATGATGGTTGTGGGTTAGCACAAGGTATGTACGGGATATATAGTGGGTGGTGGTGGTGGTGGTGGTGGTATATGGCTCGCTCTAACAGTAAGGAAACTGGCGATGGCACTCCATTCGACTCGAGCTGGACCTGTCGTCTGCATAGGATGAGGCGACATATATAAGACGAGTCGGGATAATGTTGGACCTGCACGCAAAGTTTATGTTCCGCGGTCCGGATCAATGCGATGAATGGCAGGGGGGGGGGGTGGGTACGGTAGTTGGGGGGGGGTGGGTTGGGATGGGGGGGATGGGGGGATGGGGGGATGTGGGTGGTATGTACGGGTGGAAGTAGCGCATGGGCTATGGTGGTATGGGAGAGTACTTCGCAGGACGGATGCCTTCTTATTGGGTTACAATAGGGTTACATTAGGGTGATTATGTTATTACCGGCGTCTAATTGGGTTAATTGGCTGAGCACGTGAGTCAGTGACTTACAGAGTGTTCACATGTTGCTCCACTTCTCCTCGGTATTTGGGCTGCCCTTCACATGTGTCTGAGGTGTGTCTGGTGAGGTGTCAGGTACCTTCGGCTGTAGGCAAAAATAGCAGTTAGGTCTTGGTAGTCAGGTACCTTCGGTTGTTGCGGCTGTGGCGCGCGTTGCCGGGTATTTACTTGGTCAGTTGTCGCCATGTCAAAATAGCTGTAGCTGTCTGTTTCACTTTACGTACTCCGTACCTGGTGCAAGCCTTCCCTCCAGATCCAATTTATTAAAGGTTTTAGTTGGACTTCAAGGTTTAACGGAGTAGTTTGACCAAAATATTAGTATCGTAAATATACACTTATATCTGGCGTGTGACAATCACGTGGCATCGTTGCGGACGGACGGACGGACGGACAACGAGACAATGGGACGCATGACTAAGCCCGTTATCCCCCGCATTTCCCCCATCTCCATCTCCATCTCCTTCTCCTTCTCCATCTCCTTCTCTTCTCCTTCTCCTTCTCCTCCTAACGCTAGACGCCCATCATGTCCACAAGCGCTTATCGGCAGTCGGCCACTGTTGACACCGACACCACTACATCTTCGTTACCTCCAGCCTGCATCCCAGTCCCAAGTTACTCTACTCCGTACGCTCACTACGACTCTTACCGTCTCTGTCCTGCATTTGAAGGCTTATATATTATACGCCCTGCATGCGACAAATATATCCGTCAAAATTAATCGGAATACTTCATAAATAAGCAATACATCCCAAGTGATCTAACGCTGCACAACTACTCGGTATCCATGAACCGTGGGATGGGGACATATTTCAGCTGTTGACGTTTACACCTCAAATACCCATACAACAAGCAGCCTCCTTTTGTTACCCAGTAAATGAACTCTTTGGCGGTGAGTTTACACTAACCGTTGTATGATGCCATACAGCAAATCATGTCGTTTCACTGGAAATGGGTGAAACGAACGAAGGTAAATCGTTGATAAAAAGAAATGCTGAAAGCTGGAACGAATATTCACATCCCCCACTTCCTGCATAACATCAGAATGGTCACGTGCTAGCCACCACGCTAGCCGGTTCTTGTTACCTTAGCTGGAAGACGTCGAAATAACCAACTTCCACATACTTCCTTTGCTTCCAACCACAACCGGCGCAGCTATACAACTGATTGTCGCCATAGCACGCTCAAGGTCACAGAGAGACGGCCATTCACCAGCGATCGACTCCGGCTCCCTTTCTCGAGAGACCCGACGCGCGCGCCAACTTCGCCCTCTTCACGCCACCCTACCACCGTCACCATGTCTGTCGCCATCCCCAACGAGTCCATCACAGCCGCTCTCAATGACGCGATACAGCCCAAGCTGGCCGAGATAGGCTGGAGCACAGGTGGAGCCGACGACTCTGCGCTGGCGGAATACATCATCCTCATGCTGGCGAATGGAAAGACACAAGACCAGATTGCGGCTGAGTTGTCGGGGGACTTGTTGAACCTTGGCCCGGACGACCCAGGAGCGAAGGAGTTTGCGCACTGGCTGTTTGAGCAGGTGGCGCACCTCACCCAGCAGCAGAATGGCGGCGCTGTTCATCAGAATGGTGTCCCTCGAGCTGAGGCGGCGGAAGGTGGCAATGATGAAGTAATGGAAGATGCATCCGAGGCAGGAGATCCAAATGTGTATGTACAGCACTATACCGCAGCCTACGGGATTCAAGAGCAGCAACTAACTAAATACAGACCAACAGGACCAAAATCGATGCGCACAGGCGGTGCAGGCATGAGCCGAGGACGAGATAGGCGCATGCTCGGCCAACTACAAAAGAACCTCGACGGCAAAGACTCCGTCCTCCACCGCGTCCGCGCCCACGGAGGAAACGAGCGCATCGGCGCACGCGGCGCCCCAACCGGACCGCGGGGGAACATGCAACAACGAGCCGGCCGATTCGGCGCCATGGGCGGCATGCAGGGCGGACCAGCTGGGGTAAACATGATCACCCCCGCGCAGCAGATGGAGATGTTCCACATGATGCAGCAGATGTTTACGCCCGAACAGCACGCCTCCATGAGGGCAGGAAACGGCGGCCAGATGCCCATGGGCGGCATGCCACCCTACCAGCAGCAGCAACAAGGCCGTAACGCTGGACGCTCATTATTCGACCGCGTGCAACCCAGCCGCGGTCAACGACAGCAACAATTCAACAACCGCACGCCATTCCAGCAACACCAACAACAACAACACCACCACCAGCAGCAACAACAAGCCGCCCCCGTCTCCCCAATGGACATGGTCCTCACCCCCGCCCACGAACTCGCCTCCCCAGACACAACCTGCAAATTCAGCCTCACCTGCACCAACAGCGCCTGCAAATTCGCGCACCAGTCCCCCGCCGCACCCCCCGGCACCACCATCGACGTGACCGACTCGTGCGCCTTCGGAGCGGCCTGCAAGAACCGCAAATGCACAGCGCGGCACCCTTCGCCGGCGCAGAAAGTCTCGCATAATGCGGAGCAGGACTGCAAGTTCTTCCCCAACTGCACGAACGGGCGCTGCCCCTTCCGTCACCCGACGGCGCCGTTGTGTAGGAATGGCGCGGATTGTAGGGGTGAGGGGTGCAAATTCACGCATGTCAAGACGATGTGTAAGTTCAACCCGTGCCTGAATCCGCAGTGTGCGTTTAGGCATGAGGAGGGGCAGCGCAGGGGGAAATTTGAGGATAAGGTGTGGGTCGCGGGGGACGAGGGGAAGCATGTTAGTGAGAGGAAGTTTGTGGATGAGAGTGGGCAGGTGGAGGAGCTGATTGTGCCGGGGAATACCGGGGGGGGGGATGAGGAGTTGGCGGCTTAGTGGGGGGATGGATGAAAGTGGGGAGGGGGGTGAGGCGAGGGGGAGGAGGAAGGTATTGACTGAGCTACTGCTACAGCATGCCTGTGTACACCAAAGCCAATTCCAGCCCACAACACGCATTCGAATAAACCAGAAAAAAAGGTTACAAAAGAAAGGGAGGGAAAGGCGTTATCTGGGATTGCTTTTGTTTGTTTGTTTGGTCTGGCTGGCATCCATTTGGTCAGCCGACGAGATGTAATTTTTGGAATGGGGGAGGGGACGTTGTCTTAGATATAAATGGATACCCTCATTTTTTAGGAGCCTTCTCGGGGAAAAACCGATAGGGGCCTAAGGCACTGCATACCTTTTTTTTTTCCGGGTCGGGATTGTGAGTGAAGTGAATGCTGTGGTGTTGCGGGTGGTAAATGTGTATGAGATAGCTGAAGGGAGGGGGGAAATAAGGCGGGAGGACCCGGCGGGGAGAGTTGGCGGCACACCGTACCTTTTTTTGGTCTGTACCTGTGAATGAATGGTGTGGATAATGCGGATGTCAGGATGGTCTGTAGCAGCCAGGAGATGTATATTTCGGTGAGTCAAAGAAAGGGGTAAGGGTGATTGAAGCATGTGGGCCACGTCACGTCGGGGAGGGGTCAGCGGCAACATATATCATAGGGTAGAACAGTAGGAAATAGTTGTGGTATGGTAGAAACGTAGAGTCGAGAGGCATACTCTGTTATTGTGATTATTAAAATACACTAATGAGAAGCTTCCCTTTGTGCGCACGTACGAGCTGTAATCATTGGTTTCCAAACCACCGCCTGGAGGCGGTTGGCGAAAGCGATCCTTGCTGCGAAAGCGATCCTTGCTCTCTCGGCAAACGCGAGCGCGTCCAATGCGACATCAGGACAACGCGACTATCTGGACAACAATTGACACGTAAAGTTACAATCATGTCAATTGATATAGCTAGAAACGAAGCTATTCAAAAAGCAATTGATTTCCTAAATCAGAACCCAACGGAGACTATCGCCGCAGCAGCTAGAATCTACCATGTACTCCCAACCACACTCCGTATGCGACGCATGGCGCAACGCCAACCACCAAAGCAACAGAATACTTTCAGATATACAAGTTATAGCTATACAAAGATACATTCAACGGTCATATGAAAATGGGTACGGGCAACGAAGCCAATGGTGTTTAATGCTATCTGCCAACTACTAGCAGCTGAAATCCCGACGCATCCACCACCGTCTCAACGGTGGTTCCAGACTTGGATTAAGACTCAACATGAGACTTTCCACACCATTAAAACCCGGCCAATTGAAGCAGCACGTGTTGCTTCTCATGATGTATCAGCTATCAAAGAATGGTTTCATGGATTCAAAGATGTGTGTAATCAATTAGATGTTACTGCAGCTAACATCTACAACTTTGACGAAGTTGGGTTTCCGAGTGGGAATGAGCACCGGTGAACATGTGTTGGTGCCAACAGCAGTAAAGGAGGTACGTTATATGTACTCATCTTACATTATATTATTCTAATTTGTATAGCTTTATATACAAGCTCCAGAGAATCGTCAAAGTCTCACAGTAATAGAGACAATTTCAGCTGCTGGCATTGTACTTCCACCGTTCCTAATAATTCAAGGAAAGCTTCATATGGAAAGTTGGTACCATGATAATCTACATGGTGATGAGAGAGTTGCAGTATAAGATTCAGGATATACAAACTCTGAGCTCGCAATGGAATATCTACAGCATTTTATTCAACATTCTGCACCCTCTACAAAGACGAAGTTGGACTCTCACATTTCTCATGAAGTTCCAGAATTTATAATACTTGCACATCAAAACAACATACATTTACATGTATTCCCTTCTCACCTTACACATATACAACGTTACAGTATTTGCACTGTATAAGCATTGGCACCGCCGTGCTATTCAACAAGCAATTCGGAATTTTGATGTTGACTATAATGTTATTTCATTCTTCCGAGACTTACCTACAATCCGAACACAAACGTTTACAAAGGGAAACTGTATGAAAGCGTTTAGAGACTCTGGTATTTGGCCACCAAACTACGAGAAGATAGAAAAGAAAGTGGCAATATACACAAAACCAGCACTTTTAGAAACACCAAGGCAAGCAATCCAAGCAAGTCAAGATCTTTCAAATTGGAGTCAAAGATTTGAAGAGATTCTTAGTTCACCATCACGGCAAAAGTGGACATCTTCTTATACAGAGATTCAAGTACAGTTAACAGAAAGTACTTTGGTTACCTCAGAGCTTATGCAAATTACTACTATTATGTCTGAGCAAAGACAACGGAAAGTTAGAAGCAGAAAATCTATTCAAAAGGGTGGAGCTGTTACAGTTCAACAAGCACGGAAGAAGATTCATACAAAGATAGTAAAGGAGCAAGAGAGAGAAGAAGCAAGAGAGAGAAGAAGCAAGAGAGAGAAGAGAGAGAAAGTGCATGGTTAACCTTGAGTATAAGCTGCAGCTCCGTGCTGGCATTGATGCACGGAGAGCGGAACGGGTACGGAAAAGGGAATTACTTGAATTCCAAAGGAGTAACCCAGACACCGAGCTACCAAGGGAGTTATTCGAAATAATCATAGACCCTGATATTAAGCGTAGGAGACAGAAGGAAGAGGAGGAGAAGGAGGAGCAGTTGCACTGGCAATTGGCCACTGAAGAAAGTAGTTTTGTTGACTTTGCAGACCTTGACTACGACATGATCCACAAGTGACAGTGTAAGTGATAATGAATCACTGCCCGACAATATAGATCCTAACCTATTTAATTAATCAATTATATCTACGTTCATTGCTGTTTGTTGTCCAGATAGTCGCATTGTCCTGATGTCGCATTGGACGCGTTCGCGTTTGCCGAGAGAGCAAGGATCGCTTTCGCCAACTGCCTCCAGGCGGTGGTTTGGAAACCAACGATTATGCTCAAGTGATCTACATAAACTACACATACGTGGCGCATGCATTTGCAGCTGGGTTGGCTGGTCTGTAACCTCCTCTACACGCTCTAAATCAACCCTTTGTGACCGATTCAACCTTTCCTGAACTGTTAAAACTTCCCGCTGAGTAATATAAGACCTCCTCTGTGCCCTCTTTTTCTTTTGTCTCTCATTTTCAGACCGTAATTTCCTGTTCTCATCCGCAAGAAGGACAGTGGAATGCATTGCCATTTGATAGCCTTTTACCAGCTGGTTAAGCGCGTAATCTGTTGGACTTGGGGGACTCTGCGTACGCCGGCTAATGTACCCCTTGATAACTTGAGCTTGGAGCTCTAATTGAGCGATATTCTGGGGCGTTTCAGGTACCCAAGGACCTTGTAGGGAAGTAGAGAGGTCTGTTGGTGGGGTTGGTGTCCGTAACTGAGTATTGAGCTTAACAAGTACTCGTTCTGGGTCAAAGGGAACAAGGCCTGTAGCTGCAAACCCATTGCGGACCGTATTTACACCCATAGCCTTGTTGTGGGCAGAGAGGTAAGCCGTAAGGAAGTCTGGCTTGTCAATGTGATTAAGGCCCATGCGCATATACCCCTCGATTTGCTGTTCGTAAAAGTGTTTTAGAACTGCAAAACAGCTTACGTTTAACGGCTGTAAAGGTGCGAGGAATGTGGAGGCATTCAAAGTGTAATAATCCCGTGCTCTGTGCAAAATAGATCAAACGTGGGTGTAGAATGGCTTCCATGTCCGTCAAGGATTAGAAGAGGATATACACCCTTCATACAGTCCTTTGTATGTTTCTCAAAGACGTCCGTAAGCCATGCGAGACCTAAAGAGTTGTCCGTCCACCCCTTATCACTTAGCGCAATTGTCCAATCTTGTGGGAGTATATCTGTGTACCAAAGATGACCATTGGCAGTAGGCTCCAGCCAGACAACGACACAGATTCAATGACCGTAACCCATTCACGGTTCCCTGGTTGAATAGATACTGGCCGGCTAGCTCTTTCAGAACCCGTAATAACCTTTGCGGTCGAAATTATGCCCATTTGGAAACCCGTCTCGTCGAAGTTATAGATATCCTCACTGTAACGCTGACTTCTAAATGATAGAAGACACAGAGGTTCTCTTGCGTAAAGGTTTACTTATCAGAGGAGGCAGGGGATCAGACACAAAGGCTTCAAGTAACACGTTACTAGTATATAACAAATACTGTATTGAGTTGAGCACGAAGCTCCTATCTAAGGGAATACTATCTACTTATATAGTGGCGTCGTGCCTAGTGGACTCTTGGGAACTCACTCGAGTCCTCGGAGTCCTGGACTCTTAGGACTCTTCTCATCATCCTGCGAGTCCGTCACGTGATACTTTCAGAACTACTATTCCCCGCTGCCCCTCCAGGTACCAGGGCCGGTCTCATGCGACCTCCCTCCTTCCTGTCCTGTAGTTGGCCAGCCTTCTTGTTCCGTCGTAACAACTACCTTACCGACGTCTCAAGAAGAGCGTTAATATGGGGAATTACGACCGGCCTGGCTAAGACCTACCTAGAGCCCCAATACCTGTCCGCTACGCATGGGTTCCGCAGTGCTGAGGAGATGATGGATCTACTAGGTTCATACTACCTCACAGGCAATGAGACGGAACAGGCCAGGAACCTCTTCGACGACCTGGAAATAGGAGAGAAGGGGCATGCTAGCGAAACCTTCCCAGAGTTCAAGGCTCGTTTCCAAAGTGCAGCTATCACAGGACAAGTCTGTAATGGTGGGTGCACCAGATGTGAGAATCTAGCCACCCAAGGAAGGGATGATTTTACTAAGACAACACACTGTCTTAGGAAACAGAGCCAAAGGGTTGTAGCTTAGACTATTCCACAACGCAGCAATCAGGTGTGTGATGTAGTGAAGTGGTTCAGACAAGTTGCAACAAATGTTGAGTCTGGGAACTCAGGGGTAAGTCAGAGGTTAACACCTCACTGACTTTTCAGAAACAAGGAGTAACAAGATGAATGCTTGGAAGCTTGGAAAAGACGTGGAAGTATGTGATAGTCGATTTACTGTATTGCCTGCTTGCCCTTTCTTAAGGAAAGGGCAATCCTATTTATGCCAAAGGAGTGTAGTTCTCTCATTTTCCATGACTTTCCATGACTAACCAGGCTTGGTAAATGTATTAGAAATCAAGTGCGACCCACAACTAGCTTGCTAATCATGTAGTGAATGTAAGAGAATCCCATAGAACCATCTCTTGGGTTTCTAGCCTATAGGAAGTGAAAAGGAGGTCCAAGGTCAAAGTACCTATAGACAAATTATGTCATAACTTAACCAATCTTGTGGGTAACTGAGGAGCGATGACGTGTAATGAATCATAGAGGGTTGTATAAGCTTCTAGAGCTATCGTTCATGCTACTAGGCCTCTAGTTCGTAGAGATATGCCATGTGGTAGTATTGACCCACCCCCTTAAGGAGGAGATTTTCTTAATAACTTGTTCAATGAGTGTCCAAATGATATGCCGTGATGTATGTAGCATAAACAGATGTAGTAGAAGAGTTTGCAGCAATCGTTGAGTAGTATTGCTTCTGTTGTTGGTGTGATAAGCCAAGATATGTATGGTGACTTGTAGGTTTGAGGAGGAGATTTCTAAGTTTGCTCTTGAGTTTAATAGCAAACTGAGTGCAACGAATGTCAGTATGACAAAGTCTCTGAGTCGGAATGGTTTCGGTACATGTGGAACAAGTGGACTCCCCAATTCCGCAGCCGTGTCGCGATCATCAAAAACCAATGGAATGGAGACTACCAGACCATGGTACGAGAACTTACCGCCTTCGATCAGGAACGGCGCTGGAACAACGAATTGACTCTGCTACCCGCTCTCGCAAGGACGCCAACACGTACCACGGTTACGGGAAAGGCATCAGCGTTGAAGCCGACTCGAACCACACCCACTCTGTTCACCCGGACCACGTTCCTCCCCAAGCCAGCCATACTGGAATGTTTGAGAACCGCAGTCCAAGCGTCCTCAGGAAACTGTTTCAAGTGTGGCAAGCCCGGCCATTTCCAGGACAAATGCCCCCTTAATGCTACTATCAAGGAAATCGACCGTAACAACCCTGAGGCAGAAGAACAATGGGAGGAAGCCTTGGAACTTCAATCGGATGCGTCCCTAGAGGAAAACGACGAGGCCTAGGAGAAGGCTCCTTCCTAGGTCTATGCAAATGTGACCTGCGAGGACTAGACTTACGAGAACTCCTGGGAGGCACCCAGTTCTTAGTCGACATGACCCTGAGTATGAATGGACTCGGGGTGCAAACGAAATCCCTAGCAGACACAGGAGCAAATGGCTACCTCGTCATTAACAAGCCTTTCGCAATACGACTGTCAAAAGCACTTCAGAGCCCCATACGGAAACTACCCTACTCTGTACCCATACGTGGATTTCAGCGCAAAATCCAAGGCCACGTATTGGAGTATATTCGGTTACACTTAACAGTCGAAGGACGCCGTATATATAACTGCCCCTTTGTACTCCTGGACCTCGGTGCACAAGATGTGATACTTGGGAAGAAGCTTTTCAGCCGCTTCCGAATACTACTCGACTCTGCAAAGAGCTGGTTAGTATGGCCAAAGGAGTACCTGCCGACTCCTAGCTGGAGCAAGGAGATCACCTTGCCCTACTACATGCGAGAAATGTCCATTCGACATCCCGCATACCAGCCGGATGCGAATCGCAGGGATGCTGCAATCCACTGCAAAGACAGACGCCGTGCAGGTGGATGCTCGATGAACATGAAAGTGATAACTTCAGGCTATGAAGAGATCACTGATATGCCACCGAGCCCTACCCGAAACCAAGAGGTTTCTCCCCCACTACTAGTGAAACTGGTACCTAGTTTCACGCCCATACGGATATACGAAATCAGTGCCAACGCCTTCCATCACGAGATGATGCGAACCGACTCTGAGTTCTTTTAGACTAGCATCTACAAAATTGACCAGATCATCCATGAAACGGAGTTGGTAGAGGATGGAGAAACACTCTGCCTCATCCAGCAGAAGCTTCCGCATATGCACCGGAAGTACACCGATGTCTTTTCGAAGTTGGAATCTGATCGAATCCCCCCACACTGCATATACGACCACAAGATACAGCTCGAAGCCCCTTTACCAAACACTTTCTCCCCGTTATATCGACAGGGCACCGAAGAGCTTAAGGCTACCAAGCAATACCTGTTAGAGAACCTAGAGAAAGGCTTCATCGTCAATAGCAACAGCCCCTTTGCATCCCCTATCCTATTCGTAAGCTGATGGCAAATTAAGATTTTGCATCGATTACCGGAAGTTAAATGGTCTCACCCAGAATGATCCCTACCCCATCCCACGTATCGATGAACTACTAGGACGGGTGTTGAAAGCAAAAATCTTCACAAAGCTAGATATCAGACAAGCCTTCCATTGTATACGGATGCACCCCGACTCAGAAGAGTACACGACCTTTCGGACTCGCTATGGATCCTATAAGTGCAAAGTGCTGCCGTTTGGACTAACGAATGGTCCCGCAACCTATCAGCAGTATATGAATGACGTCCTGATGCAATATTTAGACAACTTCTGTACCGCATACTTAGACGACATCCTAATCTATTCAGAGAACCCTATGAAACACATAGAGCATGTGCATAAGGTCCTACAGTGTCTCTGAGAAGCTGGACTCCAAGCCGATTTGAATAAATGCGAGTTCAACGCTTGGGTTACATATATGACAAGGAATTGCTTGCAATCATCAGATGTTTCGAAGCATGGAGACCAGAACTTGAAGGGACAGATTTTCCAGTCCAAGCCTTGTCTGATCACAAAAGCTTGGAATACTTCATGTCCACCAAGAAGCTGACAAGAAGACAAGCTCGATGGGCTGAATTCCTCTCTCGATACAACTTCCAGATCATCTATAGGCCTGGGAAGCAAAATGGAAAAGCAGATGCTTTGACTCGAAGGCCTGGTGACAGACCAGAAGGCAATGATGAGGATGATCGACAAAAGCAACAGCTTCAGGTGTTGCTACCACCTTCGAGGCTACATCCAGACATTCAGAAACTCAAAGAACAAGGCCAAACAGCTCAGCTAGCTCCAGTGGAAACTCATATCAGAGAAATGACAATTCTTGAGAAAATCCAACAGTCTCAACTGGAAGACAAATTCTGCAAGGCTACTCTACAGAAGCTTGAGAATGGTGATCGAACAAGCAAAGAGGTTGCATTGGCGTATTGCGAACTCAAAAACGGCATGCTAGAATATCAAAATCGAGTTTGGGTGCCAGAAACCATTCAGGTGGACTTGTTGAGAGAGAAGTTCATGAACAACCTTCTATGGGCCATCCAGGAGCTGGAAAGATGCTGCGAGTCATGAAACATATCGACTTATCGTATTTTTACTGTAGGACAAAGATAAATAATTGATTCTGCAACCTTTGTTACTAAATAGGGGAATTCAGCTTCACAGCACCAGTGTCATTTTTGCCCATCCACATTGCCCCAAGTGTTGGGCTGGGAAAGTCTACTGACGCGCAAAGCCTGGGCAAACTCGAAAAGATTTCGGCCGCTCAAGCAGAAATTCCGCTAGCAACGCTCACTGGTCCCTCAAATACCAGAGGCATTCCTCTCCCAATACTCTCTTTATTCTTACAACTTCTCAGCAAACAAAAGATCTCGAAATCTTAGCAACTCACTCGACCCGTAAGCTCTTATCTGGGCGGTCTTTGCCAAATTCATAGCTAAGAGCCAAGATCCTCGGTTTTCTGCGCTCAACACTGGCGCCATTCGACCTGAATGCACCCTTTACAAATACGACGCTCGCTGAGGAGGAATCTGTAGCTTAGGACTACACAAGCATACCTAAGCTTCGGGATACTGTTCGAAACGCGCGCGACAAGAAGTTCTCCAAAGGGCTTGGCGAGTCCAAAGCAAGGTGCCATTCCCCGGCACAAGCCGACAAATTCGAGACATCGAAGCCTTCGGAGGCTTGACCTTGACTCGAAATGGCGTGGGAGCATCTGTCGATCAACAAGCCCCATGGTGTATATCATCTTCGGGGGCTTCACATCTCTGTTTATGTTATGTTCGTCTTTTATCAAAGAGAGACTATACATCGGCGAGGCGACTGTCGCCACGCTCTGCGGCATCATCTTTGGCCCGCATGCCGCCAACCTCATTGACCCCAGCATGGGGAAATGTCGATCAAATAACCCTCGAATTCTCACGAATCGTCCTCGTGGTCCAATGTTTCGCCATCGGCGTCGAATTGCCGAAATAGAGAGTCCTTCCTAGTGTTTTATTTTGTCCTGGCACTCTTCTGTGCTGGATCGGGTAGCATGTTAGGCGTGGACGACCTGCTTGTTGGCTTCGCTGCCGGTGTAGGCTTCTCTAACGATGAATGGTTTACGCAGAAGACAGAAGAGTCCCATGTGTCCAACGTCATTGATTTGCTTCTCAATTTGGCGTATTTTGTCTATTTTGGCACTATCATTCCTTGGGATCAGTTCAACTCTCCCGAGCTTGGAACTGCCGCGTGGAAGCGTTGTTTGTCGTTTTCTTTCGGCGCATACCGATCATGTTAGCACTCAAACCATTTATACCCGACATAAAAAGTTGGCGAGAAGCGCTGTTTGCGGGTCACTTTGGCCCTATTGGAGTTGGAGCTATTTTCATTGCCATTCTCGCGCGAGCAGATTTGGAGACGGGTTCTACGACGCCTTTGGCAGTGCTCCCAGCAGAGGGCACACCACATTATCATCTCATCGCCTTGATATGACCGATCGTGACGTTCCTCGTTATCACCTCTATTATCATCCACGGATCGTCAATTGCTGTTTTCACTCTCGGAAAACACATCAATACGTTAACGCTGACGATGTCATACACGACTGCCAATGAAGAAGGGCCGTCTTGGATGAATAGATTGCCCCGAATTTCATCACAGTCCAAGTCAATGTCCAAAATGTCGGATACTGATCTCGAAGATATCAAGATGGAAGATCTCCACCGGGGGCGCTTCCACCTGTTGGCGTTTCAGGAGCTTTCCTTAGACGGCAAAAGGAAGAAGATACGGGCAAATCAAATGTTCGGAGTTCATCTATCATACCTAGGCGAAGGAAGAAGTCCAAATGGGACGGATACGGACCAGGAGGCCCTGTCAGCCAGTCTCCTATCGCGCCACAGCCTCGCAACCAAAGCCAAAACACATCTGCAACCTTGACGCCAGAGTCTACAAGCCATGAAGGCGAAGGAGAAGGCGAGGAGAGGGGCAAAAGAGAAATTGGAAAGGTTCAGCACGATGAGGAAATGGAAGAGATTATGCACCATGGCGAGGAGGAAGAACGCCCAGAACAACACAGGTCCCCCACACATATGAAGCTTATCAAGAGGGCGATCACATTATAATCGAAAATGAAGATGGCGACGTCCTCTCGGTCGAACAATCTCCTCCGGAAGAGGGTAAGGAAGATAAGCTCGGCGAATTCGAGGAGAAAGCAAAGGAAACCGTTGAGCATCCCGGGACTGGCTACAAGCAGTTCAGGAAGAAGATTGGCGAGTGGAGGCATCGTGATGAAGGCGAAGAGCAGAAGTCCAAGCAGAAATCCAAACGCGGCCCGGCACTGGCTTACCAGTTCGGTAACACTGTAAGTCATGAAGCATACTCGATTAATACACATTTTACTAACTCTCTCAGATTATTGTCGAAGATGAAGATGGCGAAGTCGTCAAGCAGGGGAAGAGGCAGGCGCCCAAGAGGGCGAGAGCTCTGAGGCTCAACAGACTGGTCACAGCTCCAAGGTCTCAACAAGTGGAGTGGCTTCAATGCAATCAAGGATACCCAAATCTTCGACTCTTTCAAGGAAAACAAGGATGACTACAAGGACGACGAGCACATCCGATTTACCATCGGCAGCGCCGGTCGCCGTCTCACCAAGGAAGACTTCCTCAACGAGATCCGCTCCCTAGACCCTAAGGGTCGCGCAGCTGTACTCGATAGGTCTGATGCACCGCCCGCAATGAAGGATCTCGCGCGCAGAGACGCAGATTCCAGCATCCCCGGCTCAAACCGCCTCTTCAGCGCAAAGAACGTGCAATTCGGCGCTTCCGCAGCCGCAGCCAAAGTCGTCGGCGCCGCGATGTCAGGCGCCCATGCTCCAAAACTCAAGGAGCTGGACGGAGCGGCAAGCAGCAGCAGCCGTAGCAGCGAGGACGCCAAAGAGCACCGCGCAGTGGCTATGAAACAAAGAGCGCTGTTCGCGCACGCACAAGATTCCGAGGACCGGGGGTAGGCTCGCCGGGTCGGACGGGTGTCATCGCGTCAGCGGGCTCTCCTTCGGGTGAAGTCCCAGAATCGGCAGCTGAGCGAAGGCGCCGCGAACAAGCCCTCAAGGGGGTAAATGATGACGATGTTCCCGCCGGAAAGCGCCCCGTGGCTACCCCCGCCGATAAGCGCAGAGAGTCTGCTACGACGGCGAGGAGAAATTTTGTCGCCGGAGCGACGAGGGATGGTTCCGAGACACCTGCGGAATGGAGGCGTCGTATTGCAGCGCTAGGACACAGCGAGGAGCAAGAGGGCGATGAGAATGAGGCGTCCCCGACGCTGCCGACGCTGCAGAGCCAGTCGTCGACTATGAGCGGGAGGAGTCGCGGGATCCGCTTTGCGGAGGACCCGGTGAGAGGACGCAAGTGAGTGAGTGAGTGGTTACGACGTACACAATACCAACATAGATTTGAAATTATCGGGTAAAAATCCTTGGGTTTTTTTTGTTACGATTTTCTTGGGGGATCCAAGGATCTAAGGAATTCGAGCGGTTTGCTTGTTTTTTGGGCTGGGCTAGGCTTTTATTCGGGAAATTTTGGGAGAGCCCCAGAATGGATGCTGGCTTGCTAATAGATTTGTGGTTTTTTAAACGGGTTCTCATGGACAGCATTGCAGTTGCAGAGGTAATGAATGGTTGTATGGGAATGTGGGGGTTATGACTATATGGGAGCGGCTCTTTGGTGGGGTGGGTTTTCGGGATTCTTGGAACTGGTTTGGGGGAACTACGGACTACCTCTGACAGTTTTGGCAAGATGGGCGAGAAAGAATCTCGATAGTCTGAGGGGTGGCCTGATAGTTAATGTCTTTCTACTGAATCTTAAGGAAACAGATACCAATTTCAAAGGATTACCTCAAATCTTCAAATGCCCCCTAACTCGTTCGTGACTTGCAGGATTTCCATTTCACCTCACAAAAAGTCGCCCATAACTCACCATCACGATATAGTAGTAGAGATCCCCCGGTCATTGAAAAGAGATCTATTAATGGTATCATGAGCCCTTATTCGAAAAAGCTATGCTAAAGGCACTACAAATACAATGCCCCTCCCCCCAAGTTCTACAGCCGCAAACGCCGAGTCTCGGATGCTCGTATCAGCACCCTCGTTTCCCTCCCGCAGCCTACTTGTTGCGACACCTGCGCTATGCTAATAAGCATATTTCCCTAGCAAGCACAATCATCAGCATCATGATATTTGCCACCCTTTCACACTCTCCTTCCCAAGTTTTGCCCAATTAGTTCATACATGAATATAAACCGCCTGCATGCTACCCCAAAGCCAATCAAGGACTCGCCCATCCACCCGCAACATCGACCCACTCGGCCATGCAGCTTTCCTCCTTCCCTTCCACATCCACAATGGCCGTATCGCAGCGGCATCGGCATCCGACGCCGTTCTCCTTCGGGTCGTCCCAGCTGTCCCAGTACTCGTCTTGCTGGCGCATTGGCAGGGCAGTGCTGGATAGTCGTGTGGCGGTACCCGAAGTCGCGGAAATAATGGACTTGGCTCGGGGAAAGGAGGGCGCCAGCGGCCAGGGAGTGGATAGGTGCGTCGCCCCACTGTAGAGTGTGTTAGCAGATACTCTGTTACAAAATCAGGGGTCGGGGAGATGTACCCTCTCCATCCAGAAACCGCCGCTGCGGTCCATCATCTGAAAGAAGTCCTCGTACTCCTCGCTCCTGAACCAGCTGAGGCTTGCAATCTCGAAATTCGACCAGAAATGGCACATGTTGTATTTCTCGCCTTCCATGGCTTCGGGGTCAACATCAGGTAGTGATGAGCCCTTGCGGAGAATCGGTTCTGGAATTGGAGGCTTGTAGCCTAGCGTATCTTCTGGGCGTTTCTTCTTCGGTCCCTCTAGGTCAGGCTCGACGAACATCTCCCAGAGCCTCTTGGACTTGATGTTGTTAGTTCTCATATACGCAGATGCATATCGGAAGATATTGGGAACAGTCTCCTTCAATTCCTTCACGGCGATGGTAAACCCGTATGTCTTGTTATTTTCGATCATCTTTTGGAACGGGTCACTACAGTCGTTAGTTTAACCCATCAACTGTGGTATAGAACGCTTACTAAGTGATATCACAGAAGTACTTGATCTCTAGCTCAAGGCGCCAGTACCACTCATAGTTTTGCAGCAATTCATGCTTGTAAAAGAATCTATTTTCATTAGTGACATTCCATTTCAAAGGGTCTACTTGTCTGGACATACCCAGAGTAGTATCTGCACATGGAATGGTAGCTCTCCATGCCACCATACATAATTGCGGCGTCGCCTTGCTTTGCAATTCCCTCCTTCGCAACCCTTGGATCTATCCAATCCGGGAAGCCCCACATGCTCGAGTCGATTTTCCCAAACTCTACTGACGAACTGGTATGGTTCTGGACGGTCTCCTTGAAAGTTGAGTTGAAGTCGCCGTCGTTGAGAAAGACGTATAAGTAATGATACCATCTGTTGAAATGACGCTCGATAGACTTGAGCGATTGGATAACCCCCTCCAACTCCTTATTTCTTGGCATTAGCCCTTGGCTTCGCGGTATCCGGAACATCTCCTGTCACAAACACCTTGTCGTACTTCTCGCTAATTTTCCTGTAAATCCATTAGCTATGAGCCCGAGCCATCGCAGAGATCCACAAGCCATACCTTATAGTTGGCGGTCCCCCAGCAGGCATTAATAACCCCCTCCCCGGCGACGACGGGTGCTGCACAAACAAAACCAGGATGCAAATAACGACCATGAAGGGAAATAAAAGCACGACGCCGAGAGGTACGGAAACGGCGGAATTCCCTTTTAACCGCAGGGGGCGTCTGATAGCTCGCCGTACAACCTCCTAGCTGCGAAGACTGAACCTAGATGAATTGGAACCGTACAGCCTCTCTCTTTGCTTCTAAAGAGGCGGGTATAGGGACCTGAAGGATACCTAGGATGCGCGTTGCTCGGTGCGCAGATAATGTGTAAATAGCAGCAATTGTATTTGGGCAGTTTCGTATAGCGACTCCTGTTTCGGGGTCTAGAAGCGGAGAAATGATGGCTAAACTATCGTAGTGAAGGCGTTGTGAATTTGAATTCCGAATTTGGGTGTTTTCTATGGCGGTCAGGCGGCGTGAGGTCTCCTGGAAGTTATTGGCCAGTTGGTCTAGGGTGCTTTCTATGATGGTCAGGCGGCGTGATTGTTGGTCTAGGGTGCTTTCTATGACGGTCAGGCGGCGTGATTGTTGGTCTAGGGTGCTTTCTATGACGGTCAGGCGGCGTGAGGTCTCCTGGAAGTTATTGGATTGTTGGTCTAGGCGGTCTAGGATCCGTTGAAATAGTTGGCTGTGCTGCGCAAGAGTGGTCTGAATTTGCCCGGCTTGCTGGATGGGCTCTATATTAGCAAGACGCGGGATCTCTTCGTTGATAGTGTTCACGTCCTCTGCTATTCTGTTGAAGGCAGCGGAGACACTCTCGATGTTCGGGGGCAAATTGTTAGGATCCATGAAAAAATGAGTGGCCGAAGGGAAACAAAAATCCCTTCGCCCTTGTGATGGCGTTTGGACGCGTTGAGATTCGAGAGAAGAAGTTGGTTCCAAGAGTGGTGCAGACTCGACGCTCTTCTTGGGAAACTATGACAAGCGACTCGCGCGTTGTTTATATGTGGTCCTCCGGGTTGATTGAACGTCTTGGCTGGTGAGAACTTACGAGATCTTGGTATGGGAGAAAGATATGGAAAACGTTCGTGGGTCCCTGTTGAGTAGGAAGGTCCAATTCGAGCCAAGGACCCAGAAAAGGGAAGGAGACACCACCACAATTGCACCACAATTAGTTGCACACCGCCCTGTTAATTAACAATTCTGCCGTAATTTAGCCCCTCGAAACCACCAATAAATCTAATCACGTGCACCACTCTTCACCAACAGCACGGTGTTTCTAGATTCAGCCTCGACGACCCCGCCTTGGCACTATCACAGCCAATTAACAATCCTCTGTCGACATGTCCCCCAAAATCACTTCCAAAAGTCTCTCATACGACTCCTCTCTCCCGCCCTTCCTCCAGCGCCTCCGTGCCGAGAACACTTCGGGCTCCACAGCCGCACCACGCCCCAAGCGCGCCCCAAACCCTGACGCTGACGAGGAGGATGAGCCCGTCTATGTAGACGAAGAGGGGGCAGCTCTCGATGATGATGAGCTACACAGTTTAGGTGTGACGAAGAAGGCCGCAAAGAAAGGCGAGGAAGCTGCGGAGGAGGCCAAGCCAGAGGCGGTGGGAGAGCCCGAGAGGAAAGAGGAGAAGATTGCCGCAATTGGGGCAGCGAGGAAACGAAAGGTTGGGAAGGTTGTAGGGGCGCCAGAGGAGGAAGAAGGGAAAGTCAGTGATGCCCCCGGGAAAGATAAACGGGCGCCGCCACAGAAGAAAAAGAAGGTCAAGAAGGTGAAGCTGAGCTTTGGGGATGAGTGAGGACCAGATGGACTATGCTTGGAGTTCACTTGAGGGCAAGGGGGTGATGCATTGGGTGGTTTAGAATACTGCGCATAGACTATACGGGACTGGGATTGTGCGGGTGGCGTTCGGGAGTGTCTAGAGATACCCACAAAGCGCATTTATTTCATGCCATGGAAGCTGCCAACGCCTGGATATGGCGTCCATACTAGGCGGTCCCATTTATGAGAAAGGATTGCTGCATCAGAGGCACAGCAATTGTGGCCTCTCAGTTGGCGGCCAGTACGATTTACGGGCGATATCAACCAACTGATATATCAAATGGATCGCTCCAACGAGTGTGTATTGTCTAGAGAGCCACATCCTGAAGCTCGCTCAGGATGCTGCTCTCGGTGAGTAAACTAGGCCTAAATAGTTATATATGTGAGACACGCATATATGTGAGAATATCGAACATGTGACATGAATAGCTTCAGTCCCAACTGAGATGGCCCTTGGCAGTCAGGTAAGACACTAGACGGGCTTCCCACTCTCCATAGCGTTCAACAATAAGGTTTGCCATTGAAGATCTGTGTTATGCGAAGCTATATCCCACCAATTCCTAACCCCTTCCAGTGTTTCCAGTAGTATTGCCCATATACGGGAGGCTCTCGTATACGGGCCCGTATTATACTTAAGTATTCCACGTGATCCTTTCACAATTTTCAGGTCGTCGTGAAAACTCTGCATTCTATCCTTACGTCTTATGATTCAGCCTACATCATGGCTTCTGAACCTTCTGATGTTGCATCTACTATCGAAGGGTACGACCTTGACTTAGTGTACGAAAGGTAGACATTCGCTACGCACTTTGTTATATATAGACCACGATATTATGAAGCTTGCCAAGTGGACCTCTTGTCCACTAGTGTTGCATTTCTTTTTCTGTAGGAGTAGTCAATGTATTCGTATTATATGTTAACATACTTGATGACAGCACTATCTATCTTGCCCGCGAGTGCTGGTATTTGGTCGATGGTGGGTTGTACCGTTCAGCTTCCTGTTGTCATCAAGAGCAGTCTCGACAGCACGGTGAAGGGCTGTCGAGACTGCTCTTGATGACAACAAACTACACATTTTTGAGGATCAGCTCGAACAGATTGAGGATGCTGTTCATTTTATAGGCATTAAACAATACAACAAGCCCTTTCACTTACACCTTCTACCCCGCCAATCTACCTAGAACTAACTCTGTTGCCTAAGTTTAGTGACGAGGCTCCTGTAAAATTCGACTTCGCAATATGCGAGTCGCTGAATCGCGTCAACATATTTCGTGGGCTGTTAAATGCGGCCCCGAGAAATCCTGGAGTCGAGATACGTGCGTCCCCAGCTCATAGGAGCGAAGTGAGGTAGGCTAGCCGGGCGTCGTCTACGTAAAAAGTCGAATATTTCCTAGACCGTCGTGGATATTAGAAGCTGAAGGCAATTCTTTAGTCTGGTAGTACCAAGGAATGGTTGACAGGACCCGTCTCTTCACGGACCTGCAATTACAATGTTCCGTAGCTCACCTTTTAGCATTGGAGCCTAACTTGGTCAGTACAGTAGAGTCCCGCTAAGCCGATGGAATCTAGCCACTAATTTGATATTGGCTTAATGAATATATCGCGCAACTGAATGCTTATATAATCCAACTATCTAGACTGCTTTGAACTCTGCCATTAACATCTAATGCCTCCAAATCTATGTCATATCGCTCAATAGCTCTTAATTGTGCTGTTGAGATATCATCTCGACTTTCTATGAACTCAATTAGAATTTGAACAGCCTGCCTAGCAGCCTGTATTAAAGGTATAGGCCGCTCTAGGGTTGCTTCTTCTTCTTCATTTTAAGTGTCATTACATTGACTTAGATGACTTGATATAATATCTTGTAAAACCTCCTCCTTGTAAGGACACAGGGCACCCAGCTCACAGTAATAGCATATGAGAGTGCGAGTTGGAGGCTAAACGGATGCTATCCTATAGGTCTACTACGAAGGATACAAAAAAGATGAAGAGAGGAACCTCCGTTGGGTCAATCTCCTTAAGTACCCGAAACGGGTCCGACTCGGCTAACCTGCCTTCACCCTCATCATGTGACCATAACCTGCCCGACTCAGATCCTTTCCGTCACTGAGGGACAGGCATCCTTACACCCCCCCTCCTGAGAGAGTGCTTTGTCCGCAAGGCACGCAGCTAGTATCATGTCCGCAACATCTCCGAATAGTATCCGTGAACGGAGCGTTCTTTGTTATCAGAATGTTGGCTGGTAATTGTGTCCGGAACAACTTCGTTTGTCGTGCGCGTCGGGAAGGTGCTTTGTTTGCCACAGTAGTCATCCCGAGGTGGTATCGCGTTAGGGTCTGTTTGGCATGCGAAACTGGAGCTCGCTTTTGTTCGATCTCACGTTCGTTCTTGAGGTCCGAATCAGTACCGGAAGGTGTCCGCTACACGTTTGAGTAGAATTTTCGTAAACGTGAAAGAAGAAGTGGCCGCGCTAGCCCGATTCGGAGTTTATTGTTGTAAGCCAACATTTCAGTATTGTAAGGATGCCTCCGTACCTAGATACTCGAAGAACCTGTCTCAGAACTGTTACGGTCACTACAAGCATGGAATCCGAGTCGGTGGGGTTTCGAACCAGTAGAGGAAGACATAGCGAGTTACACTATAGTGGGGGACGGTAAGGGTGTAGGGTTCATGGTCGATGCAGCCCTGTTGCGGTGGAAGGATCAGGGCTAGGGTTGGGATAACCGAGTCGTGCCCGTTTCGGGTACTTAAGGAAACAGACTCAACGGGGTTCCCCCTTCATCTTTTTTGTATCCTTCATAGTAGACCTATAGGATAGCATCCGTTTAGCCTCCGACTCACACTCTCATATGCTATTACTGTGAGCTGGGTGCTCTGTATCCTTACCAGTATTCCGCTTCGCCCACTTCCTCTTGTTTTTTCCTTACAACAACAACGCCAGCGACCCTCCCGCCCGAGACCAGTAAGTGGCCCCTCCCCGTCCGTTTGTTTATGATACTGATAGATTGGATAGTATAACTCCAATCCACACGAACGAGTAGGTGATGAGAGCGCGTTGGCGCGGTGTTGATAACTTGTGCTGGGCTGACGGAATCACAGATTCCAAATTTGAAGATGCTGGTTCCCACCCCCTCCGGGGCCCTTACTGTCGCCTTCCACGTGCTCTGTCTGCGCTGCCTTCAGGCCAAAGCCCATGGGATCCAGTCCCACGACTGCGTCTGGTCCCCGACCAGTTCGAAGTGTGGGTACTGCATGTCGCAGCACTCGCCTTGCGTCCCAGTAGGTTTTCTTGTGGGGTTCAGTGTTTGGTTTGGTTGGCCGTTGCTGACTTTGAAAGCTGCCCTGGTTCCTTGGGGAAGAGTTTGCGGCCCTCCTGGCTGCCAAAGAGGCCACCCCCCTCATCCCCGCTGACGTCATCGCCGCCGCCACCGAGGCCAATCGGGTGGCCCTCCTGGCCGCCCAGAGCATGCCAAAGTTCTGCTCTGAGGCAGAGCGTGACCTCTACGAGGAGGCACGCGCCACTCGGGCTGCCCTTGAGTTGGGGCTGGCTGTGAGTAGACCCCCTTCTCCTTGTGACTCGGTGTGGTTTTGATGCTGACTCTGGACAGCAAATTCGGTCGTCGCTGCGCCGTCTCCAGATGGAACAGGAGAGCGTCCCTGCTCTCTTGGGGGAGTTGGTGGCTGCTGTGGGCAAACTGCCCACCGCTGCCGCTCCCACGGTCACTCCTACTCGGGGTGATGGAAGGAGGGAGGGGGAGGATGGGGAAGTTGGGGCGGCCTACAGGGCCTAGGTGGGGGAAGACCTTGTGTCGGAGGGGACTCGGGCCTGGCCCTTTGCGTGGGGTCACTTCGACCCTTCATCTCTCATGGTGGTAGCCGCTTGTTGCGACGCCGGTGAGACGTTTGGGAAGGGTGGCTCCTGCAAGGGTTACGGTGGTGAGTGCGCCCTGGCTCGGAGGGTATTTTAGCTTAGAGTCGCAGACAGTAATGACTCTGTTTCTTCCGCTTTGTCTTT